AGCATCAGTCCGGTTCCTATTCCACCGTCAAGTCAGAATAGACATTACAATAAGAACCACCCACGCTTCCTTCCGTCTGGCCGAAGGACCCCTGAGCAGCATTGATGGCTCCACCTTGGTGGAGGATTGACTGCCAGCTTGCCATGACTCACTCTTTCCTCTCAGACCTGATAACCAGATCTGCCAGATAGATCCATGCCACCTAGAAAGAGCTCACCCAATGTCCAAGCTGGCCTTTGTACCCCCACTTACCAGTCCTGCCCGTGAGCCACAATACCCTCTGTCCCACCCTTTTTTTTTTTTTGAATTCCCTTAAAAAGCGTCACTAAAACCCTAAACCCTAAACCGTCATCCGGTAACCATTACCGACACCTTTGTGACTCTTCGAATCCCCTCCTAGGCTGGGTTGTGCGGCTACATTTCTGGGCCCTTGACTGTTCCCCTTGCGTGATATTCGACCTTCTTTCCGTTGTAACCTTTCTCCAGCATTTCTCTTGAATCAGTTGTTTCTCCGTTGCTACGGCCATTTGGTCTCCTCCGTCCATCTTTGAAATGTCTCTCCGTTGCTGCGGTCATTTGGTCTTGTCCGTCCCTTGTGGAGATCTGATCAGGAGGTGTTTTGCCCGTCCGCAGTTATCTGTTGTTGGTAGCCCCTTCCTGAATTTGAGTGATGCCAGTTACGAGAAGACCGCATTTGCTGGAAAGACTGGCATAACTCAAATTCAGGAAGGGGCTACCAACAACAGATAACTGCGGAGGGGCAAAAAACCTCCTGCTGAATCTCAGTCTCACGTTCTTTTATTTTTCCTCATCCTCCATCCATGATTGTTTGGTCTTCCGCCATCTGGAGAGGATTTCGGCTTGTATCATTGTTTTCGTCTCTACTCAAACCTTCTCACGTGGGTTGTACAAGTCGTTTCTGCCTTCTGGAGCTGTTCAGGGATGTTAGTCAAGAGGAGAAGTTGGATGGGTTGTTCAGGGAAAGGGGTCGGGAATAGGGAATCCTAGAGTGCCGAGGCTCTTGCCCAGTAATCTGCAGCCTCCCTACAATGCACTACGCAGTGTACTATGTCCTCTACCGCACCTTCCATGAAAACCGTGCACAGATCAGAACTGTTGGGATTTGAACCCTTTCGCCCAGTGTGTAGCCATTGGTTCACTGGCAGTGCCACGTAAGTGATTAACCATTGAAGGCTTCTGATTTTAATTGGCCTGATAGACTTGAACTTCTTCCACTGGACCTGCGTGAGCTTGTCTGCCTCTTGGCCCAATAGATTCTGCCATCTTTTTTTAATGGTGGGATCAGGGTCTTTGGTTTTCAGTGACAGTCTGTACCCCAGTTTAACTGTGTATTCATGAATTGGGATTTTGGATTTAATATTCTTAGTCTTGTCCGGCGTCCAAGCCCATTCTGCTGGGTCAAACTCTAAACTATGAATCGCTGTGTCAGGTCTGAAGATTAACTTTGGCCATGAGCCAAGGACTCTTACCTTTCTAAGTAAGAAGAAGTCCATGACTTCCGATTCCACTTCGCTATGGAGGATGGCCGGCATACTGGTAGTGGTTGTGGAGATCGGAAAGGAGAGGAAGGTGGCCTTGGTGGGCGAGCCTTGTTGCATGTGGGAAAACTGGAAGGCTCTAGAAGGAATCGTTTCTTGTACCTTAAGTCCCCACTCTCCAAGCTTCCATGGTAGGTCCTCGTCTGTGACATCCTTTCAGTTGGGAACTGACTTCCTGTTCAGTCTTCCACTCCTTTCTCTCCTCATTCCATAAGTGGGCGATTTTCCATATTCCGTTTTTGATCCAGGAGAGCCATCTGTGTTCTAGGAAGAGGGGATTGTCACCCTCATTTGTCACCCATTGATTCCCAAAGAGCGGCTGCCTTAGTACTTCATCCTTAGACCTAGGTCTATTAGACTTGTTAGGCATTGAAGCAGCGCTGACCAGTATGGAGCTGACCAGTATGGAGTAGGAGGCCTTCAGCCCTCTAGTCTAGCGTCCCTCTTTCGATTCCTTCAGCCTGTGGTCATGACCCATTCCTTATTCATTACCCAGAACAATCCTGACATATCATTTGGCGAGGGTATTGGAGCCAGGGATCTGATACTGTCCAGGACTAACTTTTTCCATGCGCTGTCTGGGTTTATCAGAAGTTTGATAATCCACTTAATCTGTAGGGCTTTTGTTTCTGTTCCAGGGTCTATGATCCCTAGGCCCCCCTTTTGCGGACTTCTCGTGACATATGCCATGCGACCTTAGGTATGCCATTCCCTTTATTGGGGTCTCCTGACCATAGATAGAACCTAGCTCTTTGATTCAGTTCTTAAAAAGAGCTATCTGGAACTGTCCAGATGGAGGCTATGTACCACATCATTGAGAAGACCGATGTGTTAAGAACCAGGGCTCGACCGATGAGGGAGGTGAAGACATTGCCCCACCTTCCTATTTTGTTAATTTGTTTGGCCAACATGTTCTGGCCCGTCTGGGGTGCTAGAACGTCCCTTGTCATAAGTATACCAAGGTCGAAAGCTTCCATTGCTTTAGCCAGTGTCCGAAACGATGAATCTGATGCTCTAATCAGGACGGTTAGGTCGTCTGCAAACATGATAGCTGTCGAAAAAAATCCATTTGGTGAGCCGATCCTGCATTGATGACGGGAAGTCTGTGGATTGATGGGTCCTTGCGTAAGAAAGATGCAATGGCTTCCATTACGAACAAAAAGATTGATGGGGCCAACGAGTCCCCTTGACAGACCGAGCGGGATATCGGGTAGCAATCCGATAACAGACCGTTGAATTGGACACAACCAATTGCATCTTTGTACAGTATGCGAATCCATTTTCTACAATTCAGCCCAACTCCCATCTTTTCCATACTTGCTTCCATGAAATCCCAGTTTACTTGGTCGTAAGCCTTTTCAACGTCGAAGAAAAGAATGGCCGTATTTATTCTTCTTTCTCTAGCCCATTGTCTAGGATGTACCGACCTGGGATGAAACCTGTCTGATCAATATGAAAGCATTTATAGGTGATTTTTGTAATTCGGTTGGAAAGGGCCTTAGCGAGGATTTTGTATGGGAGTGTTAGAAGCGAGATCAACCTATAGT